CATTGAACTGATCAAGGCACTGTACTCGAGCTCATGCCGCCAGGTGAGAGCTTACGGCGAGTTTTCATCTGAACTCGTCACAACTAGTGGTGTCCGTCAAAGATGCCCACTATCCGCATTTCTATTCAATTTCATCACACATGCACTTATGGACTTAAATTAAATTAACTTCAGGGAATCAAGGATTTCCTTCTTACCAGAGAATAATCTGGTTGAACTAGAATATGCACATGATACAGTTCGAGTGTAGGTTTTCAACTACTTTAACACTACGGCGTGCAGTACTCAAGTCTTTATCAACCTCATTCAACAGCTGGCTATATGACAATCACACGTGTCAGGTGATCCACAACGGGAAACTCAGTGAGGCGTTCGAAGTGAATACAAGAGTAAGACAAGTCTGGCTGCCTATTATCACCAACGATGCTATTCTTAATTGTGGTGGACTGGATTATGCGTCAGACTGTGCGTTGAGAGTGAGAAGACAGGATTACGCTGTACCACCAGTGAGAAGACTCTAGAAGATCTGGATTTCTCAGACGATATATGTCTAATGCCACACAAACTCGAAGGCTTAGAGGCAGGCGAAAAGCAACAAACTGGCAGGAGAAGTAGGCAGCGAAGACAGGACTCCAGGTGGACATAGAGAAGACGGAGGTGACGAAGGCAACCAGCTCACAAGTACAAAAACAATCACCAGAGGTTACTTCCTTCACATATCTAGGAAGCACCGTTTCAACCACAGGCACACGGCACGGATGAAGATGTCAAAATCGGTCAGAATCGGGGAGGCGAGGTACGCCTTCATCAACCTGAAACCAGGTTGGAAATGTTCTGCACTAATTCAGCATAAAGTACAAGATTCGGATTTTTAACACCAATGTCAATTCGGTCAGTGCCTCTATACGGGTCAGAAACATGCACCGCGGGTCACGGAAAGGATTTCCAACAGGCCACCGCAGACTTTTATCAACAGCTGCCTTCTCTGGCTCCATACTGAAGATCAAATGGCCGACCAGGAGGAATTAGTAACAAGAAACTCTGGCTGGGAACAAACCTACCAAGAGCCGATCGCTCAACAAATATGTAGGAGAAAATGGAGGTGGGTGGGACATACGCTGAGGCAACAGTCGAATGACATCACGCGCCAGTCCATAACTCGAGTGGAATCCAAATGGGGAACAACGATTGGGTTGTCGGTGCGAGGGTGACATGAAGTAGTTCGTGTGAAGAGGAGATGAGAGATTGTGGGCAATCGTGGACCCGGGTGAAGAGGATGGCAAAAAATAGAACTAAGTGGAGATGTGTTGTTGAAGGCTTATGTTCCATTCGGAACTCAAGGGAACAATAATAATATAATATAGCACCAAGGTGTGTCCATCGGACCAGCAGAAAGCCAACTATGCGACCTCTGCTCTGGCAATGATAGGTTAGAAAAGAAAGACCCATAAGACTGCACATTCAACTTTCCCTGTAGTGGCATGATTTTAATACAGACGAAACTACGGAAACCACTTCAAACAGGCTGTGTATGACTTAAGCTGTACTGTTAGGCAACACTCATTTTCCCTTTATTTCAAGAAGAAATCAACTCCCACGGTTTGGGCAACTAGAAAGTAAACACTGCCCATAGACCTACATAAGACTTTTCTGATCATAGCCTACATCATCTCTATTTTCTTGTCACTATTGATATTATTGTACAGATAGGTTCTCCATCTTCTCTTAACTTTGTGATCATTAATGACGACCATAACCGGAAAACACTACTGATAATCTCCTAAAACCATGCTACCAAATTTATATCGGAGAATTCAACGTCAGGACTTAATGCCTAATCGGACAACAGGCCTCACTAGCCACACCTTTGGCATCCTGAACCATGGATGTATGCTGTGTTTTGGAGACAGGCTTACGATACCAAAGAGTGGTTATTCACTTAATCCTACCTGGCCAATGTTATGAAAATACATAGTTCACATTACGGATGTCAGTAGATTCTTCGGTTAGTTTGTGTGGGCTTGCTGTTGTAGGGATGGCTTTGAGTGATTGGGTAAAAGCCCCTACTTGAATGGATCCTAGCTGACAGTCATATGTGTACTGACAGGAGGAAAGATTGGGAACACTTTGGGGAGAAATTTAACCGGCCTGTAGCCAAACTAAATTCTCTTGGCATTCAAAAATTAACAGTGTATGATGTAGATATTGGTTGCGAAACTGTAACTAGGGATGCAAACACTGTCCCAGATATGAAACAAGGTAGGTAGAGCATAAGGAACTGAGGGAGTAGATATGCAGGCGTATAAATAGGGTGGCAATGAAACCTTGTCCCGGTTAACTAAGAAATAAGGTAATGTGATGTAATCAGTCCTGATCGAATAGTGTAAATCCCGAAAAATATAATTTTATCACACACGCCACAATCATTCCTGCGAACAAAACCTTACTATAACTCAATAACCAAGACATAAAACATCCATGTTCACTTATCATGCGTAGACTGAGTCGTGTTCGGGAAAGACAAATCCAGGAAAACCAGTCTGTCTTTAGTCCAGGAAGACGGTGCATTGATCATATCTTCAACCTTCGGAACATAGGTATACCTACCAGCAACCAATGTTTAACACATTTCTTGACCTGAAGGAGGCATTTGACTCTGTCGACCAAGAGCTGTTCTGGTGGACTCTACTAGAATTCACGCAGCCGTGTAGGAGCTTATGGAGAGCTGTCATCTGAAGTTATGAGGACCAGTGTTATCCGTCATGGATACCCACTGTTGTTTAATGTCATCGTAGATGTACTAATAAATATGACACCAACCAACTTTGGAGACTTAGTCATTGACTTTACTTTTCATCTCACATCATCGCGTGTTCTTGTTCAAGTGGAGCGGGCTTGGGAAACCAGTAGCCGTCATATGATGTTTTCAGCGTTAGACCAGTGAGATTGCGTGATCACCGAGTCCGTGTCCAGCTCGGCATCCCTATTCAACTCAACGTATTGCAAAATATAAAAGTGGTGAAATCATGACAAAACTAATCCTTACAAACCAACTATAGGAAATCATGACAGTTAGCCGACATAGGATTAGGTTGGGATGGTCAAACCAAGATCTGGCATCAATTCATGGAGTTGGTTTGAGTTAGCCACTTAAAGAAGTGTAGACTGCCTGGATGGGGTCCTCGCGGTGCTAGGGATGAATGAATTGAGACTGTGAGTGACATGACTCAGTCGTACTTGGTGGCGCAGATGCGTTCACTCTTTATAATCTTGCAGATCCATGTATTTTCACGTGATTATTCTTTCTTGTGTACATTTCTTCTCAAAGAATTTTTTCGCTTTATCTTTGTTGCTACTGGGGTTTGAGAACTTGAACCGCTGCACTTCTGTGCAAAGTCCTACGTTGAAACTCATTTTGTCAGTTTTGAAATATCACTAAGTCCTAAAACCTTTAAAATCCTAAACTTTCATACATTGTCATAATTTGTAAGTGAAAATTCGCTCGAATGCCTAATATTACTCACATTAGAACCAAATATGTCCCAGTGTATTATTCCCCCCATGAATGCTTGTGATCTTAACTACATTTCAATAAGAAGAGTTGGAATTTCGCTATAACTTCCTGTTGTTAAACGTAACTGTGGTGAAAATGAACACATGTATTTGACACTAAAGACGGTAAAAGTTGTGTCACATGATCACATACTTTTGATGTCAGGCAAACCTCAGCATTCGATTGAATTAAAGGGAGAAATCCTAGCTTCCTTAAGAACCATCCTTTCCATCACCTGTCTTTATCTGAGAACAGTCTCTGTATGGTAACACGTTCAGTGCTATACATCGACTCGAATAAATCTTTGAAATTTTAGTCATTGAACCCCATTCCCCAAATGTGTACTACATTAACAAAACGAACACATATAGAAGTAATAAAGAGCAGAAATAAGATAATTCAACATGTATCAAAGTGTGAAAATTGAGCAGTGTCTGAATATCTGTGGTGTGCTCCAATATGTCGTCATTTATTTTTTTAGGGGATTAATGGTACATAAGGATCTGCCTTGGGACCTGAACGGAAATTGTCTTACAGTTCAGATCAAGCACTACAGCAGTTTTCTGAGCTTTGTTAGTAAGCAATTTTCTGTAACAAACGAATGTCTTATAAAGTAATAAATTGATCTACATCAGTACTTCAACAATTGTATTCATTATAATTAGGTGGATTACCCAATGGATTTTGGTTTTTTTACGTTCCGTCTGCGTTTGCTTTAGTAAACGTAGTTTAAAGATGAGGGTGGATGTATCATGATACGACAAGAATACCTGATAGATGAGAGTAAAGCATGACAGACTTTCTGACAACTATATTAAGAGCCGATTTTCGATAACCTGGTAGTATGACACGAAACATATCACAGTGATACACAAGTATAAGTTTTATTTCAGTTATTGCCTATTTTTCATTTCTTTATATCGTCTTGTTTGTGATGTCATTTTGATCTTTATTAAACAATATCCTGTATGCACTATTGCCGTCTGGGAATTCGGGATATAAAAGGTTGACAGCAAACAGAACTGTATATGACACGGAATGAAAAAACTGTTAAGTCTTGAATAGTATATACACAGCAGGCCCTCAACAATTCAGTATTCTCATCACTGTGCACACCTGAAGATTAGCATGTGTAAATGAACTCACCAAGACCTAATAGCCCGTCTTAATGGTGCTAAGTACTAAGACTTTGACTTCCACGTTCCTTAATAAGGTTTTTATTTACAAACCATACATAACGTAACAGGGCAATGAATACTTATTACCTGAAGAAGAAATAACGCCACTGGAAGGTATCACAATAAAAATCAATGTAGAAGATACTCGAAGGATGTATACCATACGAAACTGACATTTACAGAAAAAACACATTCGGAAAAGATTAATTTTATCTACGATCAGTCTATCAATTCACATATTATCAGAAAAGATTACTAATAATAGCATCTTATTTAGGAGTGAGTTTCGGCTTCGAGTCTTCTGTTTGCTTTTCCGTTTTGGCTGATTCAAGTAAATTCTTATCATGTGACCCAGGATCTCGAAAAGCCGGAAAAGTTTCCCAAGGGCTGTTAAACTCAAATCTTCTGAATTCCTGAGCTAGTTCAACAGGTTCAATAACTACGCGTTTGTACTCTTCATCATACCTCATCTGAAAAATAAAACAAGTAGAGCGCGGTTATGGGAAAAAATTAGGTGGAAAACAGCATCATCAATGAGAGATTTTCTTTAAACCAGTTTTATGCTACTAACTAAGATAAAAGTCACGATGCGAATCGCCTTCAAAATGTGCATCAGTACTTTACTATACGTATAGTAGGCAATTATAATAATAACCATAATGGGTATAAGTATAAAACTTGGGCACTGTGGTAGAGTGTAACTCCATTATGGATAAGATTTTATTTTGATAAAATCTGTAATAGATACGCAGGGGAATCATTAATATTCATTATTTATTTCGCACACTAGCATAATCATTGATTTCACGCATCTGCGTGATTATTGATTTAAATTACTGAATTCCCAAGGTCGTTAATATTTTTAAAATGTGACATTGATTTTTCTAATTGTATAAATACGGAGTTGTTGTTTAACATTTTCGACTGTTGTTTGAGACAGTAAAAGCTCTCCTATCAACGTCCAGTCTTCTCTTTTATTTGTCTTGCGTGCCCGGCGGTATTATTGTTGTTGTTGTTGACGTGCGATTAAGACAGATTAGCCAGCGCATTAGTTAGGTTCGCTCGTAGTCTACAAGGTCCTAATATTCACATACATAACAAATTTGGCGACGGGTTTGCTGAAGATGGACCCACTGCGTTTAGAGAAACTAATGGAACAGCAGCTAAAATTGATGGAAATGCTTGCTGGTCTACAAATATCACGCTCTGCTGATTCATCTACAGCCAACGACAGCATTGGTAGTAGCATCTCAGAATTCGTTTATGATTCAGATGCGAACGGAACATTTGATACCTGGTTTCGCAGATATGAAGACCTATTTCGAGTAGACTTTGCGGACAAAGATGATGCCTGGAAAGTACGGCTTCTACTTCGTAAATTGGGAGCAGATGAGCTAGATAAATATTGCAACTTAATTCTCCCACAGAAGCCCAGCGAAAGATCATTCGATGAAACTGTCCATACCCTTCGTCATCAGTTCGGTGATCAGAGATCTTTATTCAACATTCGATATCATTGCATGAAACTATCGCTCCATACTCAGTTGGGTATAGTCAATCGCACGTGTGAACGTTTTAAATTGAAATCACTCTCAGAAGACCAGTTCAAGGTATTGATTTTCATTTGTGGTTTGCAGTCTCCCAAATTTGCTGATATACGCACACGTCTATTAAATCGTCTGGAACAAGATCCACGAATGACTTTGAAAGACGTCGGTGAAGAATATCAGCGTTTAATCAACATTCATAACGATACCGCCTTGGTGCAGTCTGGCAGCCAAAATGCAGCAGAAGTGCATGCGGTGCATCCATTACCGTCGACATCAACCGCACCGCGTCATCCTCAGCATAAACCACCATCAGCCTGCTGGCACTGTGGCTCCTGGCATTTTGCAAACTTGTGCCCATTCAAACAGCATAAATGCCGTCGATGCCATACTGTTGGTCACAAAGATGGCTACTGCAAACGCAACAACCGACCCAGATCTCGTAGTCGACCCAGACTGCGCAACAAGCTCAAGTCTTTGGGTGTTACTGCCACATATCATATTAGTACTCCAGCACCTCGCAAATATATTGATCTGACGATTAATACACGGCCGGCACGCCTACAAATCGACACAGCATCCGATATTACAATAATATCAAAGAAATTATGGCAGAAGTTGGGATGCCCTGCCATAGAGAAGACAAATCAGATAGCAATTAGCGCATGTGGTGGAAAACTTCGATTGAATGGAGAAATTAAATGCAGCGTTGGGTTTCGTGATAGTCATTTCATCGGCACATGCTACATCAACAATTCAAACCTTGATCTCTTGGGTTTAGACTGGTTCGAGAAGCTGCACCTGTCAGAGATTCCGTTAAGCAGTGTATGCCATAAGATCGAAAGTATTGAACCCTCAACAAGAAAGCCAGAAATCAGAGACAGATATATTAAACCTAAGCCCATTAGGAAGAATGACGTGATTAATGAAACACCAACTTCGAATCGTCACAGTGAGTATGGCTGCGCCAAAAGTGCTTCGATGTCTGGTAGCAACAAAGTAGCAACTGTTAGCTCCAGTAAGAGAAGCTCTGCTCAAAAACTGAAAGTGATGTCGGTCATGGCAGCCAAAGATCCGCCACCGAGAGCATGGCCCACGACAAAACCATGGTCCCGCGTACATGTGAATTTTGCTGGGCCGATAGAAGGTATATACTACTTGGTTCTCGTAGACTCTTACTCAAAATGGCCGGAGGTAGTACAAGTGACACCACCTTCTAGCAGCAGAACAGTATCAGTCCTGGAAAAGATCTTCGCATGTCACGGTATACCAGAAATCATCGCATCTGACAATGGCAGTCAGTTCACCTCACAAGCGTTCCAGGAATTTTGCAAGAGAAACGGTATACAACACGTGCGGTCGCCACCTTATCACCCTCAATCCAACGGTCAGGCAGAAAGATTTGTCGACACTTTCAAACGAGCGTTGTTGAAAGCAGGGGGAGGGGCGAAACCTGAAGCAATACAAAACTTTCTCTTTGTATACCGAACTACACCACTGACAGAACAAAAGAAAAGCCCTGCAGAACTTCTAATGGGTCGAATGCTACGAACTCATCACCACTCCATGTTACCATCTTCGTCACATAAACGAAGAAATAGTCTGAAGTATTACCGCAAGGGTGATGCCGTCTATGTGCGCGATTATCGACAGAGGAACAGAAAATGGGCCGAAGGCTTGATAGACTGTCGACATGGAACTCTAATGTACAAGGTTAAAGTTGGGGATGAATGGTGGATAAGACATAAAAATCAGACACGACGTCGATATACTACATCCCAAGAACCTAAATTGCCACTGGATTTACTACTGGAAACTTTCAAAATACCACCAGTCAAATCAGAAGCAAAACAAGAGATGCTACCCAGCCGACGATCCCAGCGCAAACGAACACAAACAGTTCCTTTCCAAATCGACCCCAAGGAAAAAAGATAGTAAACTGATTGCAAGATTCTTATTAAAAGGGGGAGGTAATAGATACGCAGGGGAATCATTAATATTCATTATTTATTTCGCACACTAGCATAATCATTGATTTCACGCATCTGCGTGATTATTGATTTAAATTACTGAATTCCCAAGGTCGTTAATATTTTTAAAATGTGACATTGATTTTTCTAATTGTATAAATACGGAGTTGTTGTTTAACATTTTCGACTGTTGTTTGAGACAGTAAAAGCTCTCCTATCAACGTCCAGTCTTCTCTTTTATTTGTCTTGCGTGCCCGGCGGTATTATTGTTGTTGTTGTTGACGTGCGATTAAGACAGATTAGCCAGCGCATTAGTTAGGTTCGCTCGTAGTCTACAAGGTCCTAATATTCACATACATAACAATCTGTACAGTTGTTTCCTCCTAATTCGGGATTCATCACCAGCTGTGCAGTACTACCTGGTTTTCAATGGTTCTCCCTAACTGATATCAAACCGTGATTAAACTCGAAACAAATCGAATTCTTACTAACAAACTCAAGAGAAGAAATCATTTAGTCATATTTATACTTTTCAAAATATAAAAATCTACAACTTCGGAATTCTTAATTTGTTTCAGTAAAAAAACTTTCATTCATAAAGTGAATAATCTGTTTTGAACTAAGATGCAGACTTATTAGTGATCATAAAAATATCTAATTACCAAAGACAACAATGGTTAATACGGAAGACTAAGGTGATTTACACGGTTAATTTTCATACCTCAGTGAATCCACTCAGTGGGAAGTCTTTTCGTTGTGGATGACCCTGAAATCCATAATCGGTAAGGATTCGACGGAGATCAGGATGATCATAGAAAAACACACCATACATATCCCATACTTCTCTTTCATACCAGTTGGAAGCTTGAAAAACAGAACAAGACGAGTCGATTGGAGTAAGCTCATCCGTATAAGTTAAGACACGAATTCTCGAATTGTATCTCAGAGACAGAAGATTGTAGACGATCTGCGAAAAATGCAAATACAATGGATGGAAGCATTACCTGAAACCGGTATTTTCTTGATGGAATATCTACAGCTGTTATATCGGAGAGATTCAGGAATTGAGCATTATGATGACACTTTAGAAATGAAAGGACCGGAATAATCCCATCAGGATGAATACAAATTTCAAGCTCCTTAGTATGACCCATTTGTACTTTTTGTACAAACTTGGGTAAACACTCACCAACATATGTCCCAAAAGCTGAAAGCCGTTCAACCTTTTGTTCCTCATCTGAAGTTCGTGATTTAATTTACAAACTCACTTTTAGGAATACCTGATGAAAAGCCAGAAGATGGAGCTGTGAATCCAATTTTACTAATGCCTGAAACACCATGAAGAAGCAAACCAAAGATGCTTACATTTGAAAAAGTCTCCGGATGGACGAATGAATTTCAACATGATGGACGTTAGGAAATCCTACCAATGCCAAGCAGAGAACTTATAACCTAAAAACAACCAAAAAATACAAGTGAATCGTTATGACAACAGTGATACTGAATCCTATATTTTTACATGATATTGACAAGATCTGGTGGACATTATTTATAGGTTCTGTTCGACACTTCTGTTACCTAGCAAATAATACATTTTTATCATAGGATCTGTCGAATACAAAACTAACATGTTATTCTAGGAAGCATTGTTCAAGACTGCATATGAGGTTTTAAAATCCACATCCCAATTCCAACTGGACAACACTAAATAGAAAGAATCTTTGGTAGAAATATGTGATTTGTGGTTGATTACCATACTAAATAGAGGAGTTTGTACAACTTTTGCTGTCATACAAATACCTTTTTGATGCAAGCACAGTATTAAGATCTGGAACAGTTTGTCATTTATTTCCAAATAACACCACAATTACACATAGACACATCGTTTGATTAATCGTTTGTCGACGTAGATTTAAGCCAGACAAAGTGATAAAATACAAATAAAATTATATACTAAAAAACAGACTGCAGTATTAATTGCCGACAGTTAGCTTGAGTAAAAATTGGTGTTAACTGTAAAAAAATTGAGATCATCTTTGTACTTTAAGCGATAACTGGGACCATTTACGTGACCAGGTAGTAATAGTCGGATTACACGAGAAGTTACTAACTCACTATTAAATATGCATGAGACAGTAAATATTATACATGTCATCATATTGATCATGACACGCAGGGAATTTCTGTGTTCATCAAAACGTAACCACCTTCGAATAAGTTAGAGCTCGATGGCTGTAGATGAAGCAATCTTTGCAGTGGCAATATATATAATCCTTCTATCCGTTAGTCTTAGATGCTCCTACTACGATCACCATTCTACATTATGGTTTACTATCTTGAAATGTTATATTAGCAATTCAAACACTGTCGAAAGTGAAGGCTGCAACTGAATCCGACAAGCCACACTTAATTTGGGTTTCCTACTCTCTCCTCTTATCACAGACAGAATTCAGTAGCCAGCACGCTTTGTTTTCTATCTAATTAGAACACAAACTTGATACAATATGAGTACTGAGAAATGCACTAAACAAAAATTAACAGAACAAATTTAAAGAAAAGAGAAACAAGAACTGGGAAACAGAATTATGAAAGCAGACAAATACACTTATCAAGAGCATTCTAAGGGGTGTCCGATAACTCATATTACTTTCGGAAAGAAGAGGGCAGAAAACTCAACATATTAGCCATTTATTTTGGTTCTAAGTCATATCTAAGCGTCTCGAGCTACTGAGTCAAATTATCTTTCATATCCCACCCAGAGAACTGTGAAACACCACGAGGTGTTGACAAAATTATCCTGTATTCCACGGTGCCATGCCGTGGCTTGATTATTTCTCTACTTTCTCCATCCAGCCTCAGAGTTGGTTAACAGTGGGTGGTATGGTGGAGCATGTGAGAGAATGTCCTAGACACCGAAAGTGACATCTCAAGATGACTTCTAGCTGTTGAAAGACGACCTTCAGTATGTTGAAGCATACTGTTGGACTTCAAAATTGGTTAAGCCCCACAATCAGAAGCAAACAAAGCCAAGAAGTCAAAAGTCAACCACACAGAGTCGCTAGACATCGCTGAATTACCTTTTATTTTTTTCATTACTCACTGGGTATTTTAGGTCCTTTGAAACGGAGCGACAACCACGTGACAGTGAAAGTTTCCTGTCGAGTTTGGCATGAGAATCAGTTTTCTAAAGAGCTGTAGAGATAAATGAATATCCTAAGCATCAGTGGAACTGTCTCCATCGCCATCAGATTGACCTACCTTCGAAACGTCACACACTGAATGTAATTGATGAAATAAGATCTCGATTACCAGATATAGAAAGAGAATTTCATTAAGACATGCTTTATTTGAAATGTCAGACGAACAAAGAGATTTTGTGGACTACATTGATTTAGTTTTAGACGTTGTGTAGATACAAATCTCAAACTCGCAAACAGCCTTAAAGCAGCTGGTACTTATTCGCGTTTCCCTGCAACATCAGAGAAAGACTTTTTCTATCATTCCAGCGTATCACTGACTACTATTCGAATGCAAGCTTTGACGTCAGGTCTAAAACTCAGGACATCTCAAAAAGTTAGATTGACCTGCATATAAAAGTTTAGTTTGAAGGACTGACCTGTCAGACAAGTCATATCCTTTTAGTGTTAAACAAATCACTTGAACAATTCAAGTCAGCCATATTGAACAGCCATGATCAGTATGTTAATGGCAAACCAAGTGCCAAACGATTGATTTTAGGTAAACACAGAAACAAACTACGTGGGATTTTGAGAAACAGACTTGATGATCCTACCAGATAAAGGTACTGGTATAGTCTTAATGGTTCGCCAAGAATGTGTCAAAAAATGCTATCCATAATATTAGGTGAAAACAAATGTTCAAAAGAAATCATCCAGAAAAACCAAAAAGAAAAAACTAAAGAAAAGGTAACACAAACACTGAAGATGAGGAATGAATAGATTGTTAGCTCCAAATTGATTGAGCAGCTACAACCGTCAGGTCCGGTAATTCCTCAGTTTCCTGAAAATGCACGAAGAGAACGTCCCACTGAGACCGATTTTGGACACTATAAATCCAAAATATGATGCTACTGGCCAAATAACTGGTAAAATTCCTCCTACCTATCAGAAATAATCTGTCATCGTAGTGTGTCAGATTCATTTCAGTATTTTGATTTAATAAGCGATGTTCATGCATCTGGGAAGAGGGATATCTCTGGGTGTTACCTCTTTTTTTCACAAATGTCCCTCGTGAAAAATATCTGCTTCATGTGCAACTACATCGAGGATGATAATCTGGATGTGTGTTTTGATCCACTACCTAAAGGAACTACTATTCAGATGTATTTTCCCTGTCCACCTCAAGCACCATGACACGCTACATGGACAAAAAGATAGAGTGGCAATAGAGTTACCACTCGGTTCTTTACTTGCAGACTGCTCCAAAATAATATGTTACGACCCACTATTGAAAGTTCCCATGTGTGCCAAAGATACATGGATGATACTTCCATCATATGTGACAAGAAAGCTAACAAAGAAATAATAACAAAGGAGTTCAACAAATGGCACCTTTCTATCAAGATGACGTCGGAATCGCAGGTGAACCCTGAATTACACTTTTGGATGTTTCGTCAAAAATATTTGACGGTCCACTTCAGAGACCAATCTAATATAGCGGAGACCAATACGGAATGGTTAGTAAACGAATTTCTATAGTTTTTATCCATTTGAAGAGAAAGAGAACCTTAGCTCACTCTTTATCTTCAAGAATAATATAGATATATACCAGTGATGCAGTTGATGATGTATTGAAGAGACTCAGACAAGTTCTCACTGAAAATGGATATCTTACAAGATTTACCGAAGCGGAGGCCTATAAGAATCCAAACGGTGTCGAAGGAACTGCTGTCTATGAATGCTGCGGTTAAAGTTGGTACCGCACCTGAGGTTCTGAGGGACTGCTTATCCAGATCACGGAGAAAAAGCTTCTTTTAGGCCGAGCTACCGGTTGATAGATGACCAATGAATGTGAGGGACTAACTGCCTCTTTGAGCCTCTCCAATGTGTTTATAAATTAAATTGTTCCTATCGCGATAGTTATCCTGGTCACACAAACAGTATACTTCCAAAAGCTATCCTGCATGGTTAGCAAGAGGAAAATGTAAAACATTTACTAGCTCAATTCTCGAGTACTTGGTTAACTCAGGTCAAGCAGCTCCACCAGGGTCACCTTATAAGATTATTTACCAGTTGAGATCGGATGGTACAAGAGGTATTAGGTTTTGGCATTTGTGTATGGCAGATGCGCTAGCGATTTGTCAGTATAATCCCGAACTTTGTGTGCAGAAAAATTTTGTCCAATATCTTATTCTACCGTTGTCATAATCTCTTCCCTCATCGTCTGCTGAACTACTGGTCTTCTGTCTTTTATTTTTATTGGTCAATTTACTATTATTACTTCTACATGTCCTCTTTGTTTATTTTTCCATTTCACATTTGCCAAGTGGACATTCAACTACACATCCATGTATTTAATAACAATTTTCACCTTATCAAACTTCAGCCTCCTACTTCGATTGTATTGTTGACATTCACGTAATTTGTTTTATCCCAGAAACCACTTGTGGGTAATTATATTGTCACGCAGACACCATAACTCAATAATAGACTACTATACGCTTTTAGCAAATATAAATACCAATCTATAGCCTCCGAAGATCATTTCAGGCATAAAGAAAATGTTTTCACGGGTTCCAACATAAAACTGCACAAAAATGCAGTAGTTCCACTCGACACTCTCCATGAAGCAAACAAAAGAAGAAATTTTTAAATAGCAGAAATGTGGGGAAGAAAGAATAGTTATATGGAAAAACAATAGAGCTTCATTGGATATGGCAGATCATAGAGTAAATGTACTCGCGCTACTGAGAACGATTTTGAGAAATATCACCAGTTGTCTCCAGTCATTGGTTCCTAGAATTTCGAGGACCCTAATCAGGCAGTCTACACCTCCCTACGTGGTTTTCCACAGAGTAGTTTAGTATATACCTCATGTCCATGAAGCGCTATAACCTGAGTAGCTGGGTGCTGGAACCAGCCGAAATTAAGAGACACATGGGTGTTCAGCCAATGATGTAACGCCGTGGGATGAAGGATGTTTGTGTTACTTTGGAATCTATTATTGAGGCCCGGGAGTTAATTCAGGTCAAGTACTGTAATCAAAGGCGAACATGCCGCAATTTTGTTTTTTTTTACCTATTTTTAAAGTAACGTGAAGTGACGAACTATCCTTTGAGTGTTCTAGACAAGTAGGATACCTTCTCGATTCGTCCCAATTTTCTTTAGAATAAGGGTTAGTACTGGGGGTTAGAATAATGTAGAATCGTCTCACTAAGAATTCTAA